TGTTGTGAGGGACAACTTCCCGGTACAGAGCACCGCAGGGGGTTCACTGTGAGTCCCCGCTGATGGAGAGTCCTTGAACCAATGTTGAGGAAAGTCTGTGCAAACTCAGTGAACATGTTTAAGTCCCCAGTTAATAAGACTAATGTGACAACCAAAATCTTAGTTGTAATGGGATTTGTTTAGAATAGCTCTCTTTGAAATTCTATCCTCAGATTATAATACAGGTAAGATCAAATTGATATCCAGACATAAAGGAAAAGAAATATTGTGAAGAGTGAAGAATGCATCAATTATCAATCTTGTAACCACACTCCACACTTACAAAACCCAAAATTGCACAAGCATACTCTCCTGTATACAGACATAAATTTTCCTGGGTTCTTCATTATATAGAATTCTGTAAAACAAAAGTGATAGCATAATATTATCAATAAGGAGATAGAGTGATTGTGTAGAACCTAATCATACAACTTTTTAAATTTACGTAGATATCATTTTTATGAAATAATAACAACAACAATATTATTTATCAAGTAAGAACTATGATCAGGAACTATGCCAAATGCATTATATATATTTTATCTTTCTCACAACTCCTTGAAGGAGATTTTATAATTCAGGTTTTCCAGACAAAAGATATTGAGATTCAGGAGGTTGAGAAACTTCCCCAAGGTCACACAGCCAGGGCTGAGTCCAACTCAGATGTTCTGACTCCCAAGTCTTGGCTCTTAATCAGTCTGTTGTTCTTTTCTGACTCACTAATTGCTCTAGACAATGATTTTGCCATTGAGTTGCCATTGGTAAAGTTTGGAGATACTGATTAGATATTTCCTTAACGTAATAAGGGGCAGAAATAGGAAATAGAAGTGTCAGAATTTTATACAAGCCCAACCCTTGAATATAAGTTGCTCAAATATAGAATTGCAGGCCTCTGGTGTCCAAAGACTGTGCCAAATTCACTGGCAACTCAGAGGAAGTAAGCACAGTACTGTAGCACAGGGGAGGAGGGATGTAACTTGGAAGGCTGCTCTCACTGTGGATTTTTGGACAGTAGCAGGGCCCACTATTGGATGATATTCAAATGGTCAGAGCAAAACACAGAAGTTTGACTGCAGAAACAAGACCTCAGGAAGCAGAAAGAGTAGCACTTAGAAGTCAACAAAGAATTTCCAAAATCATCCCTAAAGCAAAGAACCCTGGATCCAATAAGCAGCAAAGAAAAGCTAAAGAACAAGGGGTGGGGGGAGGAGTACTGGATGCGGGGCCCAGTGGTCCACCTGAGGATTTTAGGTATGTTAGGTATGGGAAAACGGCTAATGCTAAGCTCCACTTGCTGGCCAGGCTAGGGGTGCTATACTACCTTTATGTAATGTAGAAATCAGTCTGAGATGGAGCCTATGAGTGAGCAGACAAGTGAGTGATGAAGGCTGGCAGAGTAGAAAATGAGGTGGGATGACCAGAAATGTGTTAACACACTTAAAAAGCCCCAAGCAATTGAGCAAACAATAGTGGTACCTCTGACCTATGTAATTCAAAGTAAAAATAAAAGGAATTACAAAAAAGTACCTGTTTTCCCTATGATGAAAAATTATTGGGTGTATTAGTAAAGTATTACATTTTTTAAAAAAGATTTTGGTACTCCTGACCACATGTCTTAATTTTTCTGTAGACTGGATAAAAAGAAGGTCTAATTCACAGCATTTACAGTTGTTCTGAAAATGAGTTTGCTAATGGATCCCCTGAAGGTTTGCTAGGAAATAGTTCATGAAAATCTGAACCATCTTTAGAATATATAAAATCTTAGTGATATCCCTGTGGAGTCTCCTAAATGGTTGTGCCATACTGCTTTGGATAGACAACAGTAGAGACTTTGAATTCCAAGTCCAGAGGAAAGAAGGGCAATCAATGTAGAAGAATACAATTAAGAAATACCACTCCTACTGGAATGTAAATCACCACCTCCCTAATACAATATTTCTTCTTTCCAAACCCCCAGCCTGTAGCAGCCTCACTATTTCCTTACCTCCCACAGCCTTGTGCCAGTGATGTAGCCTTTGATAATTCTTGCAATAAAAATCCAGTCATGTATGACATTTAGGAGGGAGCAAAAGGTTTGATTTGCCCCAGGGCCCTGGAACCATTATAAAAATGCCTTTAATGAGAAATGAAAAGCAAAGAAAATTCAGGGCTCAGAAATTGAGCCAAATCAAAAAGGGTTCCAAATCACTACGCACTAGGCTGCCTTTTAATGGTTCTAGATAAAGAGAAGAACGTTTAATGTTTTTTCCTCCAAGAATCCAAATTAATCTAAATATTGGTCTAGATTGGAAAGAAGGAGGAATAAAGTGGATCAAAATGTAGTTTTAATGCCTTCTCAGCTGCTGACAGAATGGACTTTGGGCATCAGTGTAATATAGACATTTAAAGAACAGGGCTCTTGTAACCCCATGTCACAAACATGCTTACACTTTCAAGAAAAACTGAGATTTCACTAAGTGGCCTGTAATAGCAATAAAAGGCTACACCCTTTTCACAAAATCTATTCCAATGAGACACAGTCCACTCACATTTTCATTTGCTCTTTCACTTAGCTCCTTCACTTAGCTGTGTCCTTTTCACTCTGAGCAGAGTCTTTAGTTATATCCTTTTCTCGTTTTAGAAGGCAGCTGAGAACAAACTCTAAGACAGAGATGGTGACCTTCTGTCTCCCCACGTGCCATTCTGTTCCCACTAGTCAGTGGAGTCTAACAAAAAGTTTGTGTGACCCGTGGCTTTCAAGAAAATTCAACTCCTAGCAAGGAAAGGAAAATGTTCTTAGGGAAGAATGATTCCTACAAATTTACAAGACCAGAAGCAGCTTGGAGCTTCTTCCACCAACCTGAGTGTCCATGACCTCTTGATGGATGCAGCAGACCCTTGCTAATTAAAATGTGGTCCTCCTTCTGACGGCATCAATGTCACTTGTAAATTTGCTAGAAACGCAGACTCCAGGCCTGCTCCAGATCTACTGAGTAAGAAACTGCAATTCCAAGGTGATTCATGCCCACATTCCTGTCTGAGGAGCACTGGCCTAGAGCAGTGATTCTCAACCTTCATGGCACATAGGAATTGACCAGGTGACATAAAAATAAATGACCAATGTCTGGATCCTACCCACAGAGATGCCAAGTTAATCATTCTGGGGTGTGGCCTAAATACTGGGATTTTTAAAAGCTCCCCAGGAGATTCTGAGGTGCAGCCAGGGTTGAGAGCTGCTGGCATTGAGGCAGAGGAGGGCTGCTATTCCCGTCGCCTCCTCTTTGTTGCAGAGTCAGAGAGCAGGATTCCTGGAGTCAGAATCTCTCTTTTCCAAGGGCCTTACTGTCGCAGACTGCACTGTAAGTACTGAGAAAGAAAACCATTAAAGAACTGAACTTTCTGCCTAGTGCTCTGCAGCTCTCTCCTCTCACCATCCTCATGTAGCTGTTCCTGAACCCCCACACCATGGCAAACCACACCAGTGGACAGTATCAAGTGGCGCTTTAAAATACAAACCTGGAGCCCCATTTGAGATCCACAACATGGGAGTCTCCATTCCCAGGTGTGTCTGATGTGCAGCCAGGTTTGGGAGCTGCTGAACTCCACAGGAGGTCTAGCCTTTCATCCTGCCAAGTCATTAAGGATTTGTAAGGATGAATGAGCTGTCAAGAGAGCAAGGGCCTGGTGCAATGCTCCTTTATTAATTATGGGAGAGTGATGTATTGGCAATGATAATGCTTCTCTTGGAAAGGGCAATGAATGGTTCGTCGATTGCTGCATTAGATCTTTCCCAATTCAACCTTAATGCTCAGCTTTTACTCTTCTCTGTAGTTTAAAAGCAGCATGGCTTTTACACTTGGACTCTTGGTAATGCTTCTCTTGGAAAGGGCAATGAATGGTTCGTCGATTGCTGCATTAGATCTTTCCCAACTCAACCTTAATGCTCAGCTTTTACTCTTCTCTGTAGTTTAAAAGCAGCATGACTTTTACACTTGGACTCTTGATCTTCATTCCCAGGTGAGCTGCAATCTTTGAGGGAAATACCAACACGGAAAATCTTGCAGAGCTCTTGGTTGGGGAATACCTCCCCTCGCTCCCACCTCCCCAAGTCCCTATTTGCTTGTGTCAGCATATAGTAGCTTGCGTATAGTCGTGCATATCTGATATGTGGGAAAAATACGGCGTACGGATTTTTGAAAAAATCATTGATATATCTCCAGCTTCCTTTAGCAGAGGGGTGGAAAGTGGAAGAAGATACACCTGGAGTGACAAATCAGAGGTGAGGCACGGGTAGGCGAGTTGGGGTCGGGGCTCTGCCTGCGGATGAGGCGAGGACGGCTGCAAACAAAAGTTGCAGCGCGGGTCTGCGCCTGGAATGCAAGGGCCGGGTGCCCGGGAGAGCGGGAAGGCGGCCCGAACGCACTGCGGGGCCGAGAGCCGGCAGGAAACCGAAAAAGATTCTCAGCGGCAGAGGCTGGGAGGCTGCAGGGGCTCCCCCACCCCCACCTCCACCCCCAGCTCGGTGCTGCAGAAACGCGCCGGCTCGGCCCCACGCGATCGCACCGGGCTCCGGGGGGGCGTGCGGGGG